ACACACACCTACTATGAATCTGTCTTAGAGTCTGAAGCTTTTATCTTTCAGTTTTTGCACTAACAATAATTCTCTTTTTTACTGTTTAGTCTTCCAGTCAATCTTTACCTCTCACCCACCAGCATCTGCCTTTAGTCCACACTCATTGTATCCTGTCCTCAAGTCCTGAACTTCTCAGAGGCCTGCAGGACACCTATTAGTGCACTTATTGGTGTTTCTACCTCAGCACACCTGCCCTACGCTGCTGCTTCAAAGTTAAACTTTCCTGGTCTTAATGCCATGGAAAGATTACTTATTTTTTACTTTTTATTTTATTTTATTTTATTTTATTTTTTAAAATATATTTTATTGATTTTTTACAGAGAGGAAGGGAGAGAGATAGAGAGTTAGAAACATTGATGAGAGAGAAACATCAATCAGCTGCCTCCTGCACATCCCCTACTGGGGATGTGCCCGCAACCCAGGCACATGCCCTTGACCGGAATCGAACCTGGGACCCTCCAGTCCGCAGGTCGACGCTCTATCCACTGAGCCAAACCAGTTTCGGCAAGATTACTTATTTTTAAATCTTGCAGGAAATCACAGGATTTTAAAACTATGGCAGACCTGCATGCAGTTAGTGTGGTTTACATCTGTGTCATCTCAACTGAGCAGATACTTCTGATTTGAATATTTAGATAGGTCGGAGTTGGAGAATAATGGATGAGAAGCATCTTGAACCTCAGTGACTAATATTTAGAAATCATTGATGTGATAGAAAGAAGCTAGGTAAAGGCTTTGTTTTCCCTGGTATCTCTGCCAGTAATTAGCCATGAACCCTTGGGGAAGTCAACCACTGAGCGCCCCAGTTTCTGGTAAAACAATAAAATACTGGATGTAGTAGTTGTTAGCGCCGATCTTCTGAGGTAGTTCACAAGACATACGATGTCTTAGAGCAGTGGTTCTCAACCTTCCTAATGCCGCGACCCTTTAATACAGTTCCTCATGTTGTGGTGACCCCCAATTTCATTGTTACAAATTGAACATAATTAGAGCATAGTGATTAATCACAAAAACAATAGGTAATTATATATGTGTTTTCTGATGGTCTTAGGCGACCCCTGTGAAAGGGTCATTTGACCCCCAAAGGGGTCGCGACCCACAGGTTGAGAACCACTGTCTCAGAGGCTTTGGGTAGTTCTTTTTAACACTAGCTTCATTTCATTGTTGTGAAATAGCGGTCACCATGGATATCAAAGTTGTTAGGACACCGTGATAAATGCTTTATTAAACCTGGAGTGAAGGAGTAAGCTAGCCACTGGGAATGAGGTAAGCCTCAGTGTAAGGCTCTAGTTCATCGATACTTTTTTCTGTTGGTCTTATCCACAGTGTAAGGTAGCAAGAGCCCACCAGAGTTATAGTAATGTCTAGGAGGCACTAGTAAGTCTCTTCAGGTTTTCAGTAACTTCTTTTGTTACTATAGCATTTTAAAAAATGATTTTATTGATTTCAGAGAGGAAGGGAGAGGGAGAGAGATAGAACATCAATGATGAGAAAGAATCATTGATCATCAGCTGCCTCCTGCACGCCCCCCACTGGGGGCGTATACCCTGACTGGGTATACAACCCAGGCATATACCCTGACTGGGAATTGAACCGGGACCTCCTCGTTCATAGGTCAAAACTCAACCACTGAGCCAAGCTGACCGGGCATTACTGTAAAATTTGGACTTTAATTTTCATAGTCATGCTTAGGTAGATTTTCCTAGGGGTGTTCCATAACCTTATTGTGGTTCACAGGTAGGATATCTTTTTACATCATTGACAAATGGGTATTTGAAGGTCAGTGCAAGTTTGAGTGGCTCCACTGATAACGGAAGCTTACAGAAACCAGGAAGGGAAACCAGTGATATTTGCTTGTTTTGTTTTTATTTTTAAAGATGGACAAATTCATAGTAATTCCTTTTAAAATCATCATTAATGGTTGCTTAGAATCCCTGACCAGGCTGTTTTGGTGTTTTTTGTTTTGTTTTGTTTTTTTTTTAAATGGGATAGTAATTGAGTTGTATTTAGGCGATAAAGTGTCTGTATGAAATCTAAAAGGAATTAGACTGAGGATACAAAATTGCTATAGTTCCTGTTTACTTTACGTGTGGTAATAGTAATATTTATTTTACTTTTAGTAATGAATGTTATAACTATTGAAGATTATAAGAGCACATACTGGCCAAAATTGGATGGTGCCATAGATCAGCTTTTAACCCAGAGTCCTGGTGACTATATCCCCATATCCTATGAACAGATATACAGGTAAGTCGGGATTTAATTTGCCTGGGTTTGAGAGGGTATATTGAGGTTCATGGCAACTTGATTATGATAGTATGTATGCATATAATATATATAATATATAAGATGAGGCTCTAAGTTATTTATATGTTACACACATGTGGATTGGAGGTTTGCTTTATACTTTTTGCTTCAGACTTGGTTTTCAAATCAGGATAGAGTTAACTCCACCTCAGCCTGCCATCCGTGCCATATATAATGCAGAAATGATGGAGGTCAGCAAAAATATATATTTTTAGTCTCACAGTGAGACTTTAGCTTAATCTGTCCATGTTTATTGACACACAGTTCTAACACTCTGGTTATTTTGTTTCCCAGCTCCTGGTAAATGGAAGCAGCAAATTAGTGAGGAACTTGGGTGGGTATGAGATCAACCCAGTCACAAGAGGAGGAAGTGACAACTGGGTTGTTCCACACAAGTGAGGCACAAAGAGGTTACACTGCACATGTTTTTGTGAGTTAGAAACTTTCTACCCATTATCACTCTCTCTTCCTTATTTTGACGTTCATTAAAATGAGAGAGAAGCTGGTCTATAAGTAGTGACCATAGTCAGACTCTCAGATTATCACCACGTATTAGATTTTCTAGTTTTGATAAAATGTGTAGTAGAGTACTCATAAAGATTTGTTTGTTGCTGGTGGTAATACCTCTCCCATCTGAACACTGATTGGAGCAGGGTAAATTTTTTATTTAAAAGTTGTGATTGGTCACTGTTTTTAGGCCTGAATTGGTTATTTGACCAGTGGCTGTATATACAGAGTATGCTTTAACCTTAGGCTGAATTACATGCTTCATCATTACCTGGTTTTTCTGTTTTGTTTCCCCCACAGTTGTGTGTATAAATGTGTATGCCAGCAGCACTCAGAACAGATGTATAGTGATCTGATTAAGAAGATAACTAATCACTTAGAGAGAGTCTCAAAGGAGCTGCAGGTAAAGAACTGATTGTATTGCTTTCTGCTTCCTTGGGATTTTCTGACTGGTTGCAATTAACCTGTATAATATACCTCCGGAGGCTTGTTAATTTGAGTGTGAGATAAATTTATAAACAGATGGATATTGACCAAAGCAGCTAATTTTGAAATAGATTATTTAAAAATTTTGACATAAATTGTGGAAATTTTTTAGATCGAATGTATTTCAGACTTTAACTGATTCATTTATTACCATGTGAATATTTATTTAAAACCTTATTTTTTTTCTGGTGCACTTTGGTATTTGGTGGCATTTATAATATAAATGTGTATATGTTAATTTTTTTTCTGAAACTTTCAAAAAATTATCTTTGAAGAGTGATTTGCCTACCAGTTTCTAAAATTTGCTAATTATGAGCAACTGAAGTCAGAATTTTGCTGATAAACCCTCTTTAGACAAACATCATCCTGGCTGTAAAATCTGGGGCAGGTTGTAGAAAATACTCTGCTTAAAAAACACTTGGCCTCTTGATCCCCCCAACATCCCTCTCTGCCTCAGTAAGGTTTCCAGTGCTTGAAGGTCAAGTACTATTTTTATGCCAGGGCCAGATCACATTTTAGTTCTGGAGTAGAAGTAACATGATGTATAGGAAAGTCACTCAGCAATAAATTATGGGTCCACACCACAGTTGGGAAGTACTCCAGCAATTCTGAAATAGCCACAGTTTCTAGAAAGTGCTGGGGTGTGCTCTGGGCTTAGATATTGTTCTTTACTTACCTGTGTGCTGAGTTATCTTAGTCTTATTTAGCCCAAACTGTTGTACTAAGTAGCTTTCTTTTTTTTTTTTTTATTATAGCCAGAGCATTGTTTATCATAGCCAAATATGTACTTTTCCTGTTGTTAGTGTAAAGTGTTTTCTTCATCTTTTTGCCACTAAATACAAGATCTTTATTCATATAACAAATATATTTAGTACCTAGGTATTGTATATAAATTGCAGATGAAACCCCTGATCTGTGCATTATAGCTTTGAAAGGTTTACCTACTAATTCTTTTTTTACTTTAAATAATTTTATATTTTTCAGTTACAGTTGACATATCTACACTAATAAAAGAGAAACATGGTAATTAGCGTACGACCGCTACCCTTCCCATTGGCTAATCAGCATATCCTTATGCAAATTAACTGTTAGCCAAGATGGTGGCCGGCAGCCAGGCAGCTGGAAG